CCAAAAAATACACAGCCACTCCACTTTACAGTGAATCCTGACACAAGAATTATTATTATTTACTATAAGCACTGGGACGGGTTTCCGCGCGTGTCAGACACCCGGCTGATCCCCTCGACCCCCCCCCCCATCTCCCACCCCTCCGGAAAGAAAATCTACTCGTGGTAGATTGCTGCGTCTTGTTGTGACTCCATCCCTCTCTCTCTCCCTGTCTCTCTCTCGCTCTCTCAGTAAGCGAGCCACAGAGAGCGAGCTGCATCGCTCCATGAACGAGTTCCTCAGCAGACTGCAGGACGACCTGAAGGAAGCCATGAACACCATGATGTGCAGTAAATGCGAAGGCAAGCACAAGTAAGTGAGTGAGTGCTCTCGCTCCCTCTCTCGCCGCCCTCCCTCCGCCTGGTTAAACCTCGCTCCCGCCACCGGGCGTGGGACACCGCCCCGGCCTGTTATCGTCAACACGTTAACAGTAATTTGGTCGCTCAATCCACGAGTGTTTGTGGGACGCTCGCTGGGGCAATTGGCCGCGTTTCGCCCACAAATATACAGTCCTACCTTTCAGTAATCCTGTGAAGCGCTTTGAGACGTCTCGAAGACGTGATAAGCGCATGTCAAATACAGGATTATTATTATTATTATAACTGTTGTACCCTGGCTGTTGATGATCCCTCGGCCGCTAAATTGTCCTCTTGCGCAGGAAGTTTGAGATGGACGTGACAAACTTATTATTTTTTTTGAAGGAATTATTACCTCGGGAATAGCGATCCGCCTAATCGACTAACAACCGGGTTCCCTACACACAGCTAGGCAGACAGAGGCGTGCGTGTGGAGTAAGGAAACTTGTCCAACATTCCGCCCTGTCCGGGAATCGAACCCAGGTCCTCTCAAGTGCTGTAACCTTGAATCTATTTATGCACTCTGTGACTGAGACTGAGCTTGACTGTGTGTGTGTGTGTGCGTGTGCGCGTGTGTGTGTGAGTCTTTGTTTATGTGTGTGTTGTTGTCTCAGGTTACGTGATGGTGTCCGGCCTGCTCAGCTTTGCCGTGTGCTACAAATACGGGCCGCTGCAGGAGAAGCGAAGCATCAACCTGCTGAACTGGGGGCTGCAGCTGCTGGGCTTGGGGCTGATGTACTGCGGGATCCAGGTCCGACAGGTGGCCCTGGTACTGGTAGCCGTCGCCTTCGTCACCAAGCACCTGGAAGTCCCAGTCAGTTGGACCGTGCTGGCGTACAAGTACGTTCGATATCACCCACAGCACTCCCCCACCCACCCCAGAAACTTCCGCAAGCTTAGCCTCAGGCTTCTGGCAGGGAAGATTTAACAGAGGTCCTCAGTAACAAAGAACTCTGGACTGTCCATCGCCCTGGGGCGTCTTTCCGCCGTGCAGGGCGCTCGCTATACAAGTGTCAGTTGTTGTTGTTGTTGTGTTCAAAATTATCAGGGGTTTTGTTACACTAAACGACAAAACAACAACTTGTATTTGTACAGCGCCCCCATCGCGCAGGAGAGCGTCTCGGAGCGCTTGATAGTGCCAGAGTCGGACCCCCGAGCCAGTGGGAGCGGGAGAGAGAGAGACGGCAGGGAGGAGGAGGAGGAGGAGGAGAGTGACCGTAAGCGCGATCGAAAGGAAGGTCTCTAGGCAGGATTTGAAAGTGGTGGTGGGGCGGGGGTAAGGGAGTGGAGAAAATAAAGAGAAACTGTTTTCGTCGGCGGTGGGCGGGTGGGTCGGTAACCAGGGGTGTTAGTGTCGGGTGGTGGCAGCTCCCTCTGGTAGCTAAGCCCGTGGAGCTCTCGCGAGAGGCGCCAGCTCGGATATTCTCAGCCCGACGCCTCGTGTAAAGCTCGGGGCGAAACCGGAGCCCATTTCCTGTGTTGTCTAACGTGTTGTTTTTCCTCCTCGCTGACGGCAGGCGGGTGAGTAGGATTCGGTTCAAGCTCGAGCCTCCTGCGCTGCTCACCGAGGAGGAGTATCGTCAGCAAGGGGAGGTAGAGACCCAGCGCGCCCTGGAGGGACTGCGCGGGTATTGCAGCAGCCCCGAAATCAATGCCTGGAAAACCGTGTCCCGACTCTCTGCCCCAAAGAGGTAATGTCGCTTCCCGAGAGACCGGATGGGGCGGTGGTGGAAGACTGGGTGGGGCAGCCGTGCCCCCCCCGCCAACGTCCAGCCACATCCCAGTCAAATCACTTTACAGCGTGTCCTGTGAAGCACTTTGAGACGTCTCGAAGATGTGATGTGGCGCTGTATTCACCCCCACCCCACTCCCCGCTTTAACTTGTTTGATCTTGGGGGTCTGGAGTTTGCGCCCTTGCCCGCTACCCGTGTTAATGTGGGACCGTCTCTCTCCATCTGGTTTGCAGATTCGCTGACTTCGTGGAAGGACAAGCACACCTGAACCCCAACGAGATCTCGGTGCACGAGCAGGAGTACGGGCTGGGGGGCACCTACATAGAGGAGCAGATCTTTGACTCCGAGGGAGAGGACTGACCAAGCGGGCCTCGCGAGCAGGAAACGGGCAGGCTGCGGGCTAGTGCCCCCGAGCCCTCACATCGAGTCAGCTCGACAACAAACCTCGCCATCTTTCGTGTCACTGACTCCCTCAGGGCCATACGCCGGGTTATTGCGTCGATGGGTTGGCAGAGGCTTCAGTCACTGTGAGGTCATTGTCACCAGCTCTGGTCCGTGAGGCTTGGGACGGTTTGCAACCTGGTAATAAGTTCCTGTCTCTGCAGAAACTCAACCTACACGTCAGCTCAGTCAGCTGTGACTTTATTTTTTTTTAAAATGATGCAAATGCATATAGATATAGATATATATATATATATATATAAATTTGCACTGTTTTTTCCGAGTGTTCACACTGTAAAATGCAGTGACTGGATTTTGTGGGTGAAACCCGGCAACCAATTGCGCACAGCGGCGTCCCCGTTTAGATTTCTCCTCCTGTGCGCGTGTCGAGCATCTATGCAAAGGGTTTAAAAGGCCATTAGGGCTCCTCTTAAACCGTGACTGAAGTTTAAGGTGAACCTTTTTTTGGTCGGCTTTGGTTCTGTCTCTATCGTGGATTTGCTTTCTTAACGAGGAGCAGCTCCAGCGAGATTCCAGACTGCAGTTGAGCCGCGTTACTGCGCCAGAGACCGCAAAGGCTGTCGAATGTAACCGTAATATCCTCACGTATTAAAATGTCCCCCCCCAAAAAAAATGCTGGAAATCTGAAATAAAAGCAGAAGTGGCTGGGAACGCTCGGCAGGTCAGGCAGCATCTACGGAGGGAGGAAAGCGAGTCAACATTTCAGGTCGGTGACCTCTGGTCAGAGGGAAAAACGTGTAACACAGCAAAGTTCTGACGAAAGGTTCATCGACCATAAGCCTGGACTCGCTTTCCTCACTTCACAGATGCTGCCTGACCTGCCGCGCGTTCCCAGCCACTTCCGTCGAGTTTCCGGTCCTTCCCGGCGGGAGCAACGGTCCTCTCCCAGCCGGGCTCGGGGCTTTACACGTTATTACCTCCGGTGACGCTGACCAGTCACTGACGATTCAGTGTTCCTTGGCCCTAAATGTGCTATCGCTGGTGCGCTGGGGAATCGACGTGAACCACACAGACAGCCTCAACAGCGGGGTCCGCGGCGCAGGCGGAATCCGGCCGCTCCGTCCTTCCCGCCTCAAAGCCTGAGGGAATGGCCACGCAGTTTACGCACAAGACGTTTTTTAAAAGTATTTTTAAACTGAAGTGATCTTAGGCTGGTTTCCGTGCGAGCGGTTTAAGTGTTTTTTTATAAATGTTTGAGCAGGCACAGGAAGTGGGGTGGGGGTGGGGGGGGGGGGTCGGGGGGGCCAAAAATACACAGCCACTCCACTTTACAGTGAATCCTGACACAAGAATTATTATTATTTACTATAAGCACTGGGACGGGTTTCCGCGCGTGTCAGACACCCGGCTGATCCCCTCGACCCCCCCCCCCCCATCTCCCACCCCCTCCGGAAAGAAAATCTACTCGTGGTAGATTGCTGCGTCTTGTTGTGACTCCATCCCTCTCTCTCTCCCTGTCTCTCTCTCGCTCTCTCAGTAAGCGAGCCACAGAGAGCGAGCTGCATCGCTCCATGAACGAGTTCCTCAGCAGACTGCAGGACGACCTGAAGGAAGCCATGAACACCATGATGTGCAGTAAATGCGAAGGCAAGCACAAGTAAGTGAGTGAGTGCTCTCGCTCCCTCTCTCGCCGCCCTCCCTCCGCCTGGTTAAACCTCGCTCCCGCCACCGGGCGTGGGACACCGCCCCGGCCTGTTATCGTCAACACGTTAACAGTAATTTGGTTCCCTCGACTGTTCGTGGGGACGTCTCGCTGGGCGCAATTGGCGGCTGCGTTTCGCCCACGAAATATACAGTCGCTACGCTTTACAGTGCGTCCTGTGAAGCTCTTTGAGACGCCTGGAAGACGTGATAAGGCGCTGGGTCAAATAGGAGGATTATTATTATTATTATAACTGTTGTACCCTGGCTGTTGACTGATACCCTCGGCCGCTAAATTGTCCTCTTGCGCAGGAAGTTTGAGATGGACCGGGATCCGCTGTGCGCTCGCTATTGCGCGGAGTGTAACAAGAGGCACTCGGTCGAGGAGGGAGATCTGTGGGCCGAGTCCAGCATGCTGGGCCTCAAAATCACCTACTTCGCCATGATGGACGGCAAAGTGTACGACATCACAGGTAAAGCCGTCCGTCCGTCCGCCACGAGGAAGGTTTCGTTTTGTAGAATCCTAGAATTACGCAGAGCAGAAGGAGGCCATTCGGCCCATCGGGTCTGTGCCAGCTCTTTGAAAAGAGCTTCAATTCAATCCCACTCCCCCACGCTCTCGCCCCATAGCCCTGCAAACTTGCCCTCTTCCCCCCCCACCCCCCCAATAATTATCTAGTCAATTTATCTAGTCAACACACGGTCACTCCACTATATAGTTTTGTATCCTGTGGAGCGCTTTGAGACGCCTCGAAGACGTTGCATCAAATGCGAGGATTATTATTATAACACCAGGTCTCTCTACACGTGTGGACTCCTGTGGTTAGAGCCATCGCCTGGCGAGCGAGAGAACCCGGGTTCGATTCCCGGGCGGGTCAGGGCCAGAGCGAAGCCTTAGGCAAGTTTCCTTACTCCCGTGCCCCCCCCCCCCCCCACATACACACACACCTGTTTACCTACTGACCACCTACTGACTGCTGGTAATAATAATAATAATGCAAGGATTATTATTATTATTATTATTACCAGCAGTCAGTAGGAACCCCGTTGTTAGTCGGATCACATTTCTGGGGGCGAAAAAATGCGGTCACTCAATCCACGGCTGTTTGAGGGGACGTCGTTGGGTGCAATCGGCTGCTGTGTTTCTCCCCACAGAATACAGAGTCACTACACTTTTCAGCATATTCCGTGAAGCACTTTGAGACGTCGCAACACTGCGATAAGACAAGCGGGATGTGGAGAAAGGAAACTTGTAGTAATAGTCATATTATAACGGGAGCTGTCTACTGTGCTTGAGAGCGGGGAAGGTGGTGGGGGGTGGGGGGGGGGGGGAGAGGATTATGATCTTCAGCTCTTTTCCCCTTTTTCACCCCCACAGAGTGGGCCGGCTGTCAGCGGGTGGGGATTTCCCCCGACATCCATCACGTTCCTTATCACATCTCCTTCGCAACCCGCACCCCAGGAGGTGGTGCGCGACACAGGTGGGTCAGGGCAGGGGAGCGGGGGTGAGGGGAGAGAGAGTTGGGGGGGTGGTGGGGGGGGGGATGGAGGTTGGGGGGCGGTGTGGGATAGAGCGAGAGAGAGTTGGGGGGGGGGGAGGGAGGGGTTGGGGGAGGAGAGAGTTGGGGGAAGGAGAGAGAGTTGGGGGGGTGTTGGGGGGAGAGAGAGCGAGAGGTGGTGGGAAAATGGCGGAATGGGCTAGAGGGGCTGAATGGCCGACTCCTGTTCTTACGTTCCCTTTTCCAACAGTGCAGTGAGATCTTTTAACGTCCACCTGAACAGGGAGAGGGTGACTTGGGAGGTGTCACAGGAACAGGACATGTTCCGATAACTGTAACTTGTTGTTGTTTGCGAGCGGCTGATTGGACTGACGAGGGTCTAACCCCCTGCTCCGCGCGCTGCCTTTCCTTTCTCCCCCCAGACCGAGCACGGAGAGCGGCCTGCCATCCGCTCCCGACCTTCAGGAATTCTTCACCCGGATTTTCACCCCCAACGGCAGCTTCTCGGGCCCCTGGACCCCGCCGGCCCCCGGGACCCAGCCCCGCTCGGAGGCCTCGCAGCGAGCCGACTCCAAGCCCAAGAGGAGGAAGAAGGTGCGGAGGACGTTCCCGCGATAAACGAATTCCCCCGGGAATCGGCTCCGGCTCCATCTCCGCGCAGAATCCAGGCACGGGCGGACTGACTGACTCGACTCCCGCTGACGCCTCCCGAGGCTCGCACTCAGCCAGAGAGAGAGAGGGGGGGTAAACGAGAGGGGTAAGAGGAGAGTGATACGAGAGGGAGAGAGAGAGTTAAACGAGGGTGTTGGGGGGGGGGGGTGGGGGAGTGAGAGAGAGGAGAGTGAATCAAGAAAGAGATGGTTAAACGAGGGGAGAGAGGAGAGAGAGTTAAACGAAGGGTGGGGGAAGAGAGAGGTAAACGAGAGAGAAAGAGATCCAGCAAATAGACTCGGAGTGTGCGGCAGAGGGAGAGCGAGGGAGGGAGGGAGGGAGGATCGTTAAGAGTGGAGGCGAAGCGACACAATGATTAGGTGACAAAGCGCTTGTGGCCCAATCCCTCCCGGTCAGGCTGAAAGCAGATTAGTACTTGGTTTTGTTTCGGGGGGGGGGGGGGGGCGGTGGTGGGGGTTTATTGCCGGACACGACGGTCAAGAGTTTCTTTTTAGAAAAAAAATCTTAATTTTATTTTGTTCGCAAACTCATCTACCTCCTTCCCAAAATGTTTGTACAATTCACTTGAAATATTGAACACAACTGCCTCCCCCCCCCCTCCCTCCTGGGTAGAGAGAACGCTGCGTGTGTGTGCGCGTGTATGTGTGTCTGGGTCCGTTGGGGGGAGAGAAGATGGGGTGGTGCGGTGGGGTGGGGGTGGGGGGCGTGTGAGGGGGAAGAGAGAGAACGGATATGTCTTTCTGAGTGTGACAGAGGGTTAGGTTGGGCTCGCTGTCAAGTAGACGGGGTGGGGGGGGGGGGGGGGGGGCGGTGTGTGTGGGGGGGAGGAGTGATTACGTTGTCCAGTCGGGTTTTTAAAAGCAGTTTTTTTTATATTCTGTACATAAAAAAACACAGCGGAGAAAAACAGCGATGAAACCGAATTAAGCTGCAAAAAAAAAAAAAAAAACCCACTCGCGAGAGAACGAGAGTTTAATGGCTCACGGATTCAGGACGGGTGTGTTTTTTTTTCCCCCCCCCCTTTTTGTAAATTAAATTAAAAATTACTGGAATATTTTACTTTCTTCGATAGGAATTGTACAAAAAAAAACTTATAAACTTAAGGATGGTCCGAGCGAGGTTTTTTTTTCACAGAGAAAGTTTGTTATTTCTATTCACAATCTCGCGAAGCTTCCCGTCTCTCTCTCGGTCTCTCTCTGTCTGTCTCGCTCTCTCTCTCTCTCTCTCTCTGGTGTGACTCCCAAGCCTTGTGGTGTGTTGTAGACACGGTGCCACACGCACGTCATCCACACACGCCCAATTCCACGCGCGCCGCACACACACACACACACGTGTCAGCAACGTGCTCAATCCAGCCACACGCCTCCTCCGTGGGTGTTTCTACGGGGTTATTATTGGGGCGTAGGTGGGGGAATTGAGCGAGATCTGTACAGGGGATTGTTTGGGGTTAATGGAGGAATCTTCTCAGTTCACAGTCACACAATCACACACACTCAGTCGCACACAATCACACACACTCAGTCGCACACACAATCACACACACACGTAACACTGACACCCCTACAAACTCACACACACTCAAACACCCACACACTTTAACACTAACACCACTACAATCTCTCACATATACACAGACACACACACACACACAGAGCTGCTGTAAACATAAAACTTTTATCTGTGCAGAATCCTGAAAAGAAAAGGTATAAAATGACATTGAAGTTGTTTATACAAAGGGCACAAGTGGTGAGTTACAGGCTGGGGCCTGGCTGTGCTGAGGGGTGGGGTGGAGGGGTGTTGGGGGGGGGGGGGGTGCGGGGGAACAGGGGCAGTCTCTGGGCTTCCGCTCGCTCCCGTCAGTACTTGTTGATCCCAAAGATTCGGACCCCGTGCAGCTGAGGGAGTTTGGGGATGAGGGCAGTGAGCAGGGAGATCGTGTTGACCAGGAAATGGCGAGGGTCATATTTGGTGTAGAAACTCGCCAGCAAATACCTGGAAAAGAAACAAGTCATTATTAGCACAACAACCTGGGAGCGGAGTCCCCTGTAGCTCGGTGGTCAGAGCCCCCGCCTCGCAAGCGAGAGGACCTGGATTCCATTCCCGGGCAGGGCGAAACCTTAGGCAAGTTTCCTTCCTCCACACACGCACACGCACACGCACACACACGCCTCTGTTTACCCAGTAGTCAGTAGGAACCCGCTTGTTAGTTAGCGGATCACTTTCTGGGGGTACTAATCCCTCCCGAAAAAAAATGTGGGTACTCACTCCACGGCTGTTTGTGGGGGGGAACGCTGCTGTGCCGGGTTTCGCCCACAAAATGCAGTCGATTCGCTTTTACAGTGAAGCGCTTTGATATGTGATAAAGACGCCGATAATTAATAATAATAATAATAATAACGCAATGATTGGTTTACGATTTACTGCCTTTTCCACAAAACGCTAGAAATTGGCCTTTCGCGCCGGGGTGGGGGGAGTGGGGAGGGGGTGAGAGCGGCGCCTCGGAGCGCTTGGGCACGAGTGACGAGGGATTGAATTAAGGCACAACAACGGTCACGGTTGAACACAGCGTCGACTCACAGGATGATGGGGCTGATGGTGAGGAACTTGCGGGAGGAGGTGAACTGGATCCCGTAATCCATCTGTTCCCAGTGTGTGAGCAGCCGGGCTTTGCCCTGGTCGGGGGTTTCGAAGGGCGTTCCCTTGACTGTGTGTAGGAACCAGTACATCGTCTGCAAAACAACAACAACAACTTGCATTTTGCACGGCGCCCCCCCTTTTCGTAGGGTTTAAGAGACCCGGAGAGCTCGAGGGCGGCGGAGTCTGAGCCCAAACCAGGGAGGGAGGGGAGGGGAGGGAGGGGGGGGGAGGGAGGGGAGGGAGGGAGGGGACCGTAAGCACCATCAAAAAAGGAAGGTCTTTAGGTGGGATTTGAAGGTGAGGAGGGAGGGGGCAAGGTGGAGGGGATCGAGGGAGAGAGTGACCAGAGTTTCGAGGTGTAGTGGCTGAAGGCACGGCCACCGATTGGGGGAGCAAAGCTGGGGGGTTGGGGGGGGTGGGGGGGACGAGGGACGAGCAGGAGCCAGAACTCACCGAGTTGTGGATGACGTGAGTGAGGGTCCACACCACGGGGATGCTGAAGACCGGAATGCTCAACAAGACGACATGGAGAAATCCCACCAAGATGAGGTAGGCCAGCCAGATGCCCCGGCTGTTCATTATCCGCGTGTTGGGGTTCACCTCGCTGTGAGCCACCCCGACATTCATCCTGGCTCCGGCTGTCACACGCACACACACACACACACAGAGAGAGAGAGAGAGAGAGAGAGCATCAAATAAACAACAATAACCGTTGCATTTGACCCGGCGCCTCATCACGCCGTCGAGGCGTCTCAAACCTCTTCACCGGGTGCCCTGCAACAACAACAACAACAACAATAATAATAATAATCCTCGCACTTGATTCAGCGCTTTTCACGTCTTCGCGACGTCTCAAAGCGCTTCACAGAACAGACTGTTGACTGCATATTTGTGGGCGAAACGGGGCGGCCAATTGCGCACAGCAGCGTCCCCACAAACGGCCGCGGATTGACTTTCGGAGGGGATTATCTCCCCCCCCCAACCCCCCCCCCCCCCGCCGCCCGCCCGCCCTTGAAACCGATCAGCCAATCGACTGACGACCAGGTACCTATTTAGTGAGGAGTGCGGCGTAAGGAAACCCGGCCACGGTTTCGCCCGGTCCGGGAATCGGAGCCGAGTCCTCTGCCTTACCGGGAGAACGCACGAACGTGGAGTCCTGTAGCTCAGTGGTTAGAGCACTCGCTTTGCAAGTGAGAGACCTGAGTTCAATTCCAGGCAGAGGGCGAAACCTCGGGCAAGTTTCCTTACTCCACACAGAGCCTAATAATAATCCCTCCAAAACCCAAAACAATAATAAATTGGTCATTTTCAATCTACGACTGTTTGTGGGACATTGCTGTGCGCAATTGGCTGCCGTGTTCGCCCACAAATATACAGTCAATTCACTTTACAGTGTGTTCTGTGAAGCGCTTTGGGACGTCCTCTCCCGACGTGAAAAGCACTATATCAAATGCAAGGATTATTATTATTATTATAACGTTGTTGCTCTGTCGTTGCTCTGAATTATAAGGTGACGTTTCGTAACGATGTCTCTCCTCTCACTCTTACGCGGCTGTTTTAAGCCGATATGTGTTGCTGCTGCGATTATATCGTTTATATTATATGATCATCAATAATTTATAGTCATTATTGGTAATTAGACTGTTGTGCGCTGTGACACAGTGACTTGACATTCGGCTTCGATCAGGGCTGTAATCACCGGCTCGAGGGGATGTTATGGGGGAAACTTTAACCCGTTGCCATTGAGAGCAGCTCAGAGAGGGGGGGACACAGCCCCTTTCCCCCCCTGTGAGACCCGCCTCAAACTGAGAGAAAAAAAATACAGATTCTCTTTAAAACCTGAGATTCCCCCCCATTTCCCCCTGAATTTCCCCCCCATTCCCCACTGAATTTCCCCCCCATTCCCCACTGAATTCCCCCCCCATTTCCCCCTGAATTTCCCCTGAATTCCCCCCCGATTCCCACTGAATTCCCCCCCCATTCACCCCTGAATTCCCCCCATTCCCCCTGAATCCCCCCCCCCCCATATCTCCCCCATTCCCCCCTGAATTTCCCCCCTGAATCCCCCCCATTTCCCCCCTGAATCCCCCCCCATTCCCCCCTGAATCCCCCCCATTCCCCCTGAATTTCCCCCCCCCCCCATTTCCCCCCTGAATCCCCCCCATTCCCCCCGTCCCCGCTGTGCACACACTGACCCACTCACTCACTCACCCACCGGCTCCTTTAACTGCTACCCGGAAGTGCCCGCCCCTCAACCTAACCTGCTGATCAGGCCCCGCCCTCCTCACCCGCCACGGGACGCGCTGATTGGCGTATCCCTGGCTGGGCCCGCCCCATCCGCCGCTCCGATTGGCCACGCGCCCGTCAATCACAGTGCTTGCCAGCACGTTAGGCTGCGCGTAGGCACAGCGGGTCAACGAGGCGGACAAAGAGGCAGCTGCTGGGTGGCAAGATGGTACCAAGGGTCCAGGTTCTGGGAGTCAGCCAAGGCCACACCACCCAGTGGCGGATCAATGCCAATGTCTTCATAAAGAATAATTACATTATTATGTTCTTATTATTTTATTCTTGTATTATTATTATTATTATTGTCTTATTGTCATGTTATTATTTTTGTTTTATTTTATTTATCACGACAACAGCAATACTAATTATTAATGCTGATGATATTAATCGTTACTATAAATAAATAGATAAATAAATCAATAAATAAAGTAAACAACGCCGACAAAATTGGTCGCTTCGATCCACGACTGTTTGTGGTGGGGGACGGGAGGGGGGGGGGACGGCGCTGAGCACGATTGGCTGCCGCGCTTTGCCCACAAAAGACACGGTCACTACACTTTGCGGTGCATCCTGTGGAGCGCCTTGAGCCGTCTCGACGACGTGAATAGGCGCTGTTGGGTGGAATCCGGTTGTCCGTCTCACTTTGAGCGCACAACAACAACAACTTGCATTTACAGAGCACCACCCCCACCCCCCCCCCCCCTCCCCCCGCAACGACTCCGAGCGGGGAGTGGGGAGGTGACCATAGGCACTGGTCGAAGAGGAAGTTTCGGGGCGTAGTGGCTGAAAGAGCGCTGCGGATTTCCTTAGTGGTCCTCATTGTGAAGTGAGGCGAGATGTCAGCCAGTTCCTCCCGAGGATATTTATATTGCTCTCCAGGTTCTCTGACAAGACACATGGTTCCCATTAGGTTCTCGCGCATACGTTCACGGTCGCATGTACACCCCCCCCCACCCCCCTCTCCCACAGCCCACCATGTGCCACCCAACCCCCCAACCAACCACCACCACCACCACCACTACCTTCACGGCTTTTATCCCAGTTTTAATTTACAGTTTTTTCCAAATTTCACGAAAAAATTTCAGCAATGGTCTCCCCCCCCTCCACCCCCCCCATCCCTCCCCTCCACCCCAGGAGAAGCTGTCAGACTGGTTTGAGTTCCTGCTCTGGAGCTAATCTCTTCTGAACCAACCCCGAATTTATCATACAATAATAATAAGCCTTGCATTTGACACAGCGCCTTATCACGTCGTCGAGATGTCTCGAAGCGCTTCAAGGAAACTTGCCTCGGGTTTTGCCCCACCTGGGAATCGAACCCCCGGGTCCTCTCGCTTGCGAGGCGAGCGCTCTAACCACTGACCTACGGTACGGAGAGTCTTAATCCTCACTTAAATGACACGGGACAAAATCTCGAGCACAGTCTAGGGTGACATTCCAGCGCGGAGCTGGTGGGGGGGGTGGGGAGTGGGGTGGAGGGGGTGCAGTTGGGAGGGAGGAGAGCTGCATTGTTGCCATCCTTTGGATGAGACGTTAAAGCAATCTCGGTTTCTTGGTTGAACGATTCGTCTTCAGGACTACAGTGGGGTAGCGTCCCAGAGCGTTTGAAATTGGTGGAGTCTAACCCTGGGCCGGAGGGAGAGGGAGGGAGGGAGGGGGGTGACCATAACCGTGATCAAAAAGGAGGGTCTTTAGGTGGCATTTGGAAGTGGGGAGAGGGAGGGAGGGAGGGAGGGAGGGAGGGAGGGGTCGAGGCGGAGGGATTGAGGGAGAGAGTTCCAGAGTTTCGGGGGGAAATACGGCCACCAATGGTGGAGCGGAGGCTGTAACTCTCTATCTTTCTCTCTATCTCTCTCTAGCGCTCTCTCTCCCGGGCGGGTATCCTGGCCGACATTCCTCTACCTTCACAGCCGACGGTGGAACGTTCAGGTTGGCTCGATCCTCCAGCCTGAATTCCTGGATGTCGGAGGCAGTAAAAAAGGCTGCACATGGCAGCTTGAAAAAGCTTTCCTCCCGGGGGGATGGAATGGAAACTCATCCCTCACACGAGCGGACGTCACGGGCTGCGGCGAGAGGCCAGGGAGGGGCTGCTTCCTGGCTCTCCCCACGGAAACTGGGGAAAGCCTTTGATAATGCGTTTTGATGGACGAGACGGGTCTTTGGCATCGTTTCTCCTGCTGGGGGGGGGGGGAGGGCCTGGGGGTGGGGGGGGAGGATGCGGGGGGGGAGGGCATGGGGGGGTGGGGGTTAAATCACATGGCGCACACCACGCGGAGCAGACTCCGCATGTGGGGCAGGTGTTCGCCCTTCTGGACCGGCGGAGCGGGAACCTGGGGCTCAAAGCGCTTCTCAGGATGTGCTGGAAACTGTAGTGACTGTGTGTGTTTTGTGGGCGAAACGCGGCAGCCGATGGCGCACAGCAGTGTCCCCACAAACACTCGTGGGTTGAAGTGACCAATTTATTATTATTATTTTACTGTTGTGGAAGGGAGTATCACCCCCGGAAAAGCGATCTGCCAATTGACTGATGTTCCTATTTACTGTTGGGTAAACAGAGGTGTGTGTGGGGGGGGGGGGGGGGTACAGGTGGGGAATAAGGAAACTTGCCCAACGTTTCATCCTGACCTGACCCGCCCGGGAATCGACCCCTGGTCCTCTCGCTTGCCAGGAGGCGAGGGCTCTAACCCCTGAGCTAAAGATCTCGCGACACTATCTAGAAAGGAAGAGAACATAGGAACAGGAGGAGGCCATTCAACCCCTCGGGCCCGTTCCGCCATTCTATAAGATCACGGCTGATCTGTACCTCAACTCCAATTACCCCCCCCATTTGCCCCGTATTCCCCTCGATCCCCCCGAGCTGACAAACATCTCTCCGCCTCAGTCGTGGAAACGAGAATGGATCCACAGCCGTAATCCACGGAGGGAGACAGTTCCAGATTTATGCAACCCTTTGCGTGGACGGAATCTCTCGCGTGTTTTGCTGCAGGAACAGTCACTACACTTGATGGTAATTACTTGTGAAGCAAGCCGAGGTGCGCATTTGCGGCACTGCAGGGTCCTGGACGTCAGAAGCCCTGCAACACTGCTGCATTGGACACCGGAAGAAGATTAGGAACATTGACGGCACTTGAGCCTGATGCAGTCGGAGTTTTTTGAGAGAGAGAGGGAGGGAGAGAGAGAGAGAGAGAGAGAAAGAAAGGGAGGGAGAGAGAGAGAGAGTGAGATAGGGAGAGGGTGCGTGAGAGGGGGAAGAGGGAAAGGGAGGGGGAGCGTGACAGAGGCAGAGAGAGGGGGCAGAGCGAGGGAGAGAGAGTGAGTGCGCCAGAGAGAGAGGGAGAGAGAGTGAAAGCCGTCGCTGGGCTTCAACCCACAAAGCACACAGTCACCGCACGTTACCGCGAGTATCCCGCGAAGCGCTCTGAGACGTCTCGGTGGCGTTGATCAGGCGCCGCTATTATTATTTATGTCACCATTACTATTATTGGACGTTCTCGAGAACGTGTCCTGTGCAATTCCAGATGACACCATCAGAGGGACGGAACAGACACTGAGAGACTGAAACGGACTTCAATACGGTTCGTTTACTCCGATTTAGGAAACCGGTTGAGTCGATAAGGAAAAGATTAGCAAAAAAAAAAAAAAATCTCTCAGATCAGAGACAGGCGCAGCTGCAATTTGAATGAATTATTAATTTTTTTTTACATGAAACCGCCCCCCAACCCCCCCCCGAAAAAAAAATCCAGATATTTACAGGCTTAAAAATTGGAAACATTCAGGTGTCAATCTCCAGGGAATATTTCACATTTTTCTCTCCATAAAAGTCACCGCGATCTTTATTGCAGAGCGAAAGTGTCTGCTTTGATGAGGATGGAAACTTTTTGACTTGGTCAAGGGGGGGTTTACGGTTCCAGGAAAATAAATCGGATTTAAAGTGGGAGCCGACAGCAAGCGATGTGAAACAGCGTGAAATAGCTGCAGGTTTAGTGTGGGCTTTATAAATCAGTTATACATAATATATATCCATAAAACAATCTTCGCATTTGATGCAGCGCCTTATCGCGTCTTTGGGAGTCTCAAAGCGCTTCGCAGAATATGCTGTCAAGTGAATTGACTGTGTATTCTGTTGGCGGCCAATGGAGCGCAGCAGTGCCTCACAACTGGTCGTGGATTGAGTGACCACATTATTATTTTGTTTTGGAGGGATTATTACCCCCGGAAAAGCCATCCGCCAATTGATTAACAACCGGGTCCCTGCTTACTGCTGGGTAAACAGAGGCGCGTGTGTGTGTGTGTGTGGGGGGGGGCGGGGGCGGGGGGGGGAGAAAGGAACTTGTCCAACGTTTCGTCCTGTCCCGCCCGGGAATCGAACCCGGGTCCTCTCGCTTGCGAGGCGAGGGCTCTAACCACTGAGCTCACAGGGACGCCACAATGCAGTGGTGTACTGGAGCGTTCCTCTGGGCTGTGAGCTCGAAGTATGTGTGTGTGTGTGGGGGGTGTGGGGGGGTGTGGGGGGGGGAGGTGGGGGGTGGGAATGGGGGGGAACAGAGCGAAACCAGAGGCGAGAGAGAGAGAGAGAGAGAGAGAGAGAGACGGGATCTCTGGTCAAGGTGTATTGGCGAATGCATCTTCAGAGACCAAGACAGGAACTACAACCACACAACAACAACAACAACAACAACACACGACAGACAGTCACACAGCCCTTCAGGTCGGGAGGACGTCCCAAGGCGCTGGACGGTCAGGGATTTGGACACGAGCTGGGGGTCGGGATCAGGAGGGGGTGGAGGGCGGGGAGGGTGGGGGAGTAGGAGGGTGACCAAAGGCACGGTTGGTCGAAGAGTAAGGTCTTGAGATGTGCCTTGAAGGAGGCGAGCGAAGAGAGGGGGGCGAGGCGGAGGGACTGTGGGATGGATTTCCAAAGGATGGTGGGTGTGGGGAGGGGGACAGAGAGAACTGAAGGCCGGGGTAGGGAGGGTCAAGGCCGCGGAGGGCTTTGTCTCGCGAAGGCGAGGGCGAGGGTTCTGAAACTCTATCCTCCCCCCCCGTGGGGGGAGAGTGGACTGACCTCGAAGCAGATTGATGGGAATCCAGAAGAGATATAAAACTCACCTCTAAATCTAAGTCGGTATCTTTTCCTGTTGGGAGTTGATTGATGGGCGGTTGGCGTTGGCTCTCAGTGCCCATCAGATCCATCATTCCTTTCATCACCTGTGTTTCCATGTCCCGCTGTGTGGAATCATCGCAGTCGTACGTTATATCAGAGCCGTGGAAACACTTCGAAAAATGTTCGTTTGGATTTATTGTCACTCAGAAATTCCCCACCATCAAAAGCTCCCCCCGCCCTGTCACCCCCCCCTCCCCACCCCACCCCGATCCCAACACCCCCTCTCCCCCCACCCCGCGCCCGCCCCCCCCCCCCCCACCCCAGCTCCAACTCCAACTCCACGCCACAGACACATTGACTGTTTCACCCGCAAGACACACAGTCACCACACTTCACGGCGGATCCTTTGAGAAGCGAGCGCTTTTCGGAGACGTCCTGGCCACGCGACGAGGCGCAGTATCGAATGTGAGGATCGTTGGGAATTATTTATTATTCCGATCGTGATTAGCTCTGGGTCAAGTCTCGTTGCGGGTAATTCGAAGCCGAGGTGGGTCTGGTTCTCGTTAAGTCCGGTGCTGGAGGAGCTCGGATCAGGACACGCTGTACGCAGAGTCTCTGAAACGCGCTAAACTGTTTGCTAATTACGCTAATTACACTGTGGGGCCCTGGAACTTAGTGGTTAGAGCACTCGCCTCGCGGGCAAGAGGACCCTGGTTCGATTCCTGGTCGGGACGAAACCTTGGGCAAGTTTCCTTACGCCACACGCGCGCGCGCCCGCGCGCACACGCGCGCCTCTGTTTACCCCGCAGTAAGCAGGAGCCCGGCTGTTAGCCGATCAGTGGGGGTAATAATCCCTTCAAAATAAAATAATAATAGTTTCCGTGGCCGCCATGTTTCGCCCACACAATATAAAGTTAATTCACTTTACAGTATATTCTGTGAAGGTGTTTGAGACGTCTCAACGACGTGATCAGGCGCTGAATCGAATGAAAGGATTATTATTATATATATATATATTATACAATATATAATATATCAATTATATTATGTCCTGTGTGGGGGCAGGGCAGGGTTTTGGAGTGGGGTGGGGGGGGGGGGGGTGGGGGTTGGAGTGGGGGAAAGGGGTTCCTTTCAAACAAACCTATCAAGGTTCAGTGTAAATGGTTAAGTATTAAAGTGTTGATACACTGTCAAACACACACACACACATATACACACACACACTCACATACCCCCACATCACACTCACACACATATACACACACACTCACAGTTTAGAGACAGTTTGAGAGGGAGACAGAGAGAGAGAGAGAGAGAGAGAGTGAATGGGTGACTGAAAGGGTAGATATGTGAGAGAAAGAGAAAATATGTGAGAGAGAGGGAATGGTGCGAGGAAATGAGTGAGAGCATATGTGTGTATGAGAGAGAGGTGTGTGGAGTGTGTGTGTAGTGTGTGTGCAGGTGTATGTGTGTGTAGTGTGTGTGTGTGCAGGTGTGTGTGTAGTGTGTGTGCAGGTGTGTGTGTGTGGTGTGTGCAGGTGTGTGTGTGTAGTGTGTGTACAGGTGTGTGTGTGTAGCGTGTGTGCAGGGGTATGTGTGTGTCTGTAGGAGAGTGTCTGTGAGTAAAGTGTCTGTAGGAGAGTGTGTGTGTGTGATGTGTGTAGTGTATGTTAAAGAGTGTGGAGTGGGTTGTGTTAGTGAGTGAATGAAAAAGTGGTGAGAGATTGAGAGAGTGAGTGACAGAGAGAGTGAGTGAGAGAGTGAGTGAATGAGAGAGTAAGTGACAGAGAGAGAGTGAGTGACAGAGAGAGTGAGTGAGAGTGAGTGAATGAAAGAGTGAATGAGAGAGAGTGAATGAGTGACAGAATGAGTGAGTGAGTGAGTGAATGAGAGAGAGAGAGAGTGACAGAGAGAGGAAATAACGTTGAATTGTAACCTCACATGGACACACACAACCAAACGACCTGTTAGTCTATCTGACACCCCCCCCACACCCCCTCCCCTCCCCCCCCCCTCTCCCCCCCCCCCCTCCCCCCCTCCCCCCACCCCCTTGACAGCCTTTTGTTGCCTCTTCAGCCAATCCCCGATTTTTACGACACGAGACTTGTAGCCAAAGTTGTCATATAAAAGGGGTCGCAGTTTAGAGCATTTATTATTATAGCAGTTTGTTACCCGGGACTCCCACCCCTCTGTCTGTGCATCTCTCTCTCCCTCTGCATCCCTCTCCCTCCCTCTGCATCCCTCTCCCTCCCTCTGCATCCCTCTCCCTCCCTCTGCATCCCTCTCCCTCCCTCTGCATCCCTCTCCCTCCCTCTGCATCCCTCTCCCTCCCTCTGCATCCCTCTCCCTCCCTCTGCATCCCTCTCCCTCCCTCTGCATCCCTCTCCCTCCCTCTGCATCCCTCTCCCTCCCTCTGCATCCCTCTCCCTCCCTCCACATCCCTCTGCATCCCTCTCCCTCCCTCTGCATCCCTCTCTCTCTCCCTCCCTCCCTCCCTCTTGACTTGTGTGTGTGTATCTTTCTATCCATCGATTTGTGAGCTGATTTTCAATTGGGACACTCACACACTCACTCATTCATTCATTCATTCATTCACACACACAACACACACAGGACTCCTATCCTCTCTCTGTCTCTCTGTCTGTCTGTCTCTCTGTCTCTCTGTCTGTCTGTCTGTCTGTCTCTTTCCTGACTGTGTGTGTGTATCCATCTGTTGTGTGAGCTGTTTTCAACTGACACACAGACACACACACAGTTACTCACAGACACAGACACTCACACACTCACAGACACACACACAGTCACTCACAGACAGACACACAGTCGCAGACACACACTCACAGACAGTCACACACTCACAGACAGTCACACACTCACAGACAGTCACACACTCACACACAGTCACACACACACACCACAGTCACACACAATGCTCACATCACACCTCTCTGTGCTACTCCTCGCTCTGATCTCCTCGGGAGTGACGGGCTCTGGGCAGGAGGTGGGGGCCGGACCTCCGGGGGGGGCAGAGGCAGAGGCAGAGGCGGAGGCGGAGGCGGAGGCGGAGGACCCGGAGTGGCTCCAGTGTCCGGGGAGAGGATGGAGGGGGGAGTGGGGGGGGGAGTGGGGGGAGTGGGGGGCACTGCCCGGGACTGTCCCGCCTGTACTTGGAGGGAACACAGCAAAGCGCTGCGGTTGGAGTCCATCAAGTCGCAGATCCTCAGTAAGTTGCGGCTGAAACACGCCCCGAACATCAGCCGCGACACCGTCAACCAACTGCTGCCCAAAGCGCCCCCTCTGCAGCAGCTCCTCGACCAGTACGACATCCAGAGCGACGGCTGTGCCTCACAGGAGAGCGCTCTGGAGGAGGACGAGTACCACTCCACCACCGAGACTGTCATCACCATCGCCACAGAGAGTGAGTCACCGCGTGTGGGACTGTGTGTGGGACTGTGTGTGTGTGGGACTGTGTGTGTGTGGGACTGTGTGTGGGACTGTGGGACTGTGTGTGGGACTGTGTGTGTATGGGACTGTGTGTGGGACTGTGTGTGTGTGTGTGTGACTGTGTGTGTGTCACTGTGTGTGTGTGGGACTGTGTGTGTGTGGGGGGGACTGTGTGTGGGACTGTGTGTGTGGGGGGGGACTGTGTGTGGGACTGTGGGACTGTGTGTGGGACTGTGGGACTGTGTGTGTGTGGGACTGTGTGTGTGTGTGTGTGGGACTGTGTGTGTGTCACTGTGTGTGTGTGACTGTGTGTGTGTGTGGGTCTGTGTGTGTGTGTGTGTGACTGTGTGTGTGTGTGGACTGTGTGTGTGTGACTGTGTGTGTGACTGTGTGTGTGACTGCGTGTGTGTGTGTGACTGTGTGTGTGTGTGACTGTGTGTGTGTGTGTGACTGTGTGTGTGTGACTCTTACTGTGACTGTATGTGTGAGACTGTGTGTGTATGTGTGTGACTGTGTGTGTGTGACTGTGTGTGTATGTGTGTGACTGTGTGTGTGTGTGTGACTGTGTGTGTATGTGACTCGTACTGTGACTGTATGTGTGTGACTGTATGTGACTGCGTGTGTGAGAGACTGTGTGTGTGTGACTGTGTGTGTGAGAGACTGTGTGTGTGTGTGTGTGACCTTGTGTGTGTGTGTGTGTGTGACTGTGTGTGTGTGTGAGACTGAGACTCTTACTGTGACTGTGTGTGGTGTGACAGGGCGATGCAGTGACTGTGTGTGACAGGGAGGTGTAGTGACTGCGTGTGTGAGACAGGGAGGTGTAGTGACTGTGACGCTGACTGTTACTGTGACTGTAGGCTGCAGCAGACAGAGAGTGCAAGTGGTCTGTAGATTGTCGGATGGAGATGGAGAGAGAGAGTTAGAGGGATAGAGAGGAGAGAGAGAGAGAGAGAGAGAGAGAATGTGTTTCTGCTGCTTTTATGGATCAATTTGTTTTTAATTTGTTCTGAAATTATAATAACAGTCGGTGCAGTCGGTGTACGAGTCGTCCGATAACCTTAAACCGTAAAGTGTTGAGGTGTGTGTCGATAGAAGCTGTTTGTTTTTTCGCGGGGGGCGGCGGGTGGGGGGGAAAAAGAAGCGCAGAGAGTTGAGTCCAAAGCCGCCGAATCCTTTTTCGGTCACAATAATAGACGTTGCGTTCGATTATGGAGCTGTACCGGGTGGTCGAGACGTCTCAAAGCGCAGCCGCAGACTGTCCTGCGAAGTGACGCGGACCGTACGGTGTCTGTTATGGGTGAAATTATAAGTGAGGAGCGCGTTGGGAGCGATCGATGTCGGACGCGTTCCGCCTTATCCCCCTCGACGTGGCGAGAGGCGCTGAGCGGTGCGGTGCCCCCCCCTCCCCCCCCGTCTCTTACGGATTTCATTTCAAAAGGTTCCCCCTTGGATCGTTGACACGGTTCCCCACTCCCATCCCAGCCGCCCCCGCAACATCCCCCCCCCCCAACACTCCCCCACCCCCCCACCACCCCCACCCGCCTCCCGCCCCCGGAAAAAAACACACAAACACAAACAAACAAGAAAGGAACAGTCTCTCTCTCTCTCTCTCTCTCTCACACACACACATCCAATCCATTCACTCAAACCCCAACACAATGGGGTTGGGAACATTTGGAAGTTTATGATGGCTTCAGAGAGAGATTTTATTGAGGCGCTAATATAAATCAGTGCTTTCAACCCCCCCCCATCACCCCTGCCCACCCCCCACTCTCTCCCGCAACACTCCCCGCCCCCCCCCCCCCCCCCCCCCCCCACCACCCTTGTACAACGGAGAAAGAGACCTAGGAGGGTAATTAGTTAGGAAAGCTATCTATCTGTCAAATGTCCATGACCCTGTGAACTTTATTCCAAACCCTTTAGCCCGGGCCAGCCTTGCGTCAGCTCCGCACCTATCCTCCGGCTGCCGCACGATCCTCGACCTCAGTTCCCCGGTCTTCCTGTCGAGGGCTTCAAATAATAGGAATAATAATCCTAATCCAACGTCTCTGACCCACAGACTTCGCGGTCCGTCCGCTCTGTGGTATCTTCTGGGAAGCGCTTTGAGACGTCTCAAAGACTCTCCCCTACCCAGAGTGTGGGGGGTGTTTGAGCAGCTTCAAATAAACCCCGCTGGGTTTATCAATGAGAGCGCTGTCTGGCGAGCTTCCTGCCGCTTGTCCAGCAAACACCGTTGGGGCTTTCGCTCGCGGGGGTTAACGGGAGCCGAGGGGGAACCTGGGTCGGGGGTGACCAGTCTGTTCCCCCTCTCCCGCTCGGATGGACTTGGAGATCGATGCCCTGACCTTGCCCCACACGCCCAAAATGTCCGACCTCCTCCAGCCCGACTCTCTCGCTCTCCACCTCCGCGCTTCAAACATAAGCCTTCCCCTGCCCCCCGGCCCCCGGCCCCCGGCCCCCACGACGCTACCATCAGCGGCCGAGCTTTCAGCACCCCCCCACCCGCCTCTCTCTCTCTCTCCCCCGTCCACCCCCCTCTCTCTCTCTCTTCCCACCCGCGCCTCTCTCTCTCCCCCCTACCTCTCTCCCCTTCCCTCCCCCACCCCACCACTCACTCTCCCCGCTCCCTCTCCTCCTCCCCTTCTCTCCCTTCGGGGTGGGGTGGGGGGGGTCTAATTTGGGTATTTAGCAGATTTCGTATTAAATACCCTGCTTTAATTAAATTAAATTAAATACGCTGCCTTCTCGCTGAAAGGTGCTGCGTAATTATCAATAAAATAATAATAATTTGGTCACCCAATCCACGGCTGTTTGTGGGGACGTCGCCGGGCGCAGTTGGCTGCCGCGTTTCGCCCAGAAAAACACAGTCCCTGCACTGTACAGCGCTTTGAGACGTCTCGAAGGCGCGATAAGGCGCTGTGTCAAATTATCCTGAATTATTTTTATTTGTGGGGGGGTGTGGGGAAGGGATTATTTCCCCCTCCGGTAAAGCGATCTGGCAATCGACCAGAAACCGGGTTCCCACTTACTGCTGGGTAAGAGGCGTGTGCGTGCGTGTGCGTGTGCGTGTGTGTGTGTGCGTGTGCGTGTATGCGGAGTAAGGAAACTTAACTAAGTTTTCGGGAACCAAATCGTACACTCCTGAGGGTAGTGAGTAAGAAAACAATGACGCGCTGAGCAAATTGCCAGAGATGCCATCCTTCCGATAAGACGTTAAACTGATCGTCACGTCTGTGCCTTATTCCGGTGGACGTTAAAGATCCTATGGTGCTGTTCACAAAGAGATGAGAGTCTCTCTCTCTCTCTCTCTCTCGCTCTCTCCCCCTGCGTTCTGGCCAACAATCTGCCAAATGAATCGCCCAGTCACCTCTCGGCTGTTTATGGGACATTTCCTGACAAATTGGCCGTGAGATGTAATGGGCGTTATATCAAACACAGGGTTTATTATGGTTTAAAACACCGTCTCGGGCAATCAGCCACACACTGGCCTCTGCAACCGCCTTCTGAATCCGCCGAAAGTTCAGTCCTCGCTCGTGTTCGGACCTGAACACACTGTGGAATCCTATAGCTCAGTGGTTAGAGCGAGAGGACCCGGGTTCGATTCCCAGGCGAAACCTTAAGTTTCCTTACTCCACACACACACACACACACACACGTCTGCCTCTGTTTACCGAGCAGTAAGTCGACTGGCTGATCGCTTTCCAGGGGGGTAAGAATCCCTTCCAGAAACAAATAATAATAATAATTTAGTCACTCAATCCGCAGCTGTTTTGGGGGGACGCTGCTGTGCGCAATTGGCTGCCGCGTTCGCCCACAAATATACGGTCAATTCACTTTACAGTCTATTCTGTGAAGCGCTTTGAGACGTCTCGACCACGTGATAAGGCGCTGTATCAAATGCAACGATTTATTAATACTACATCCTTTGAAGTGCTTTGGAACAATCTTCCTAACATGCAAACCCTTGTAAGAAATGCCAGGATTATTATTATTATTATTATACTATTACTACTATTAATATTATTTATCTGCGTGCGAAGAAATCGAAGGGCTCGGAAGGCGGAGGGAAGCTTGCGAGGTAGAGATCCAATTTCAGGTGGAATTAAACCGGGAAGCGCGGTGGCAAAACACACAGGATAAAATAAACCCCATCGCTGGCTTGTGGGGAAACACAGGCTTGGCTGCTCTTTCATCTGAACCCTTTGGGAGGCTGCTATAAGTGGATGACATTATATAGGGACTGGGATACGATGTCGTGACCTCTAGCTGTTACTGTGGGATCATTTAAGTGCAAATGGGTTGGGAGTGCAGCTGATGAAATGCCTTGTGGCACTGGAAACATCATTAAATAGAAGTGCGAGTCGAGGGAAATATACAAGTCCCTAACCAATTCTGTTTGCAGGTGCTTCAGGCAAATAGAGAGGGAGGGAGGGAGCGAGAGAGAGAGAGAGAGCGAGAGAAAAGGATAAAGAGAGGGAGAAGAAGAGAGGGAGAGAGAGGAAACGAAGGAGGGAGGGAGGGAGAAAAGGATTGAGAGAGCCAGGGAGCAAGCGAGCGAGAGAGAGAGAGATTGAGGGAGGGAGGGAGGGAGGGATTGAGGTAGGGAACGAGGAAACGAGGGAGGGAGAGAGCAAGCGCGAGAAAGGGAGGGAGGGGAGCGGTTAGAGGTTAGAACAGCTTTTTAGGAACGGACGCACAACCTACAATAAAATAACAATTTCTTTCCGTTTCAACTTATCGAAAGATAAGTTAAAACCGGGAGAAATTGTGTTTACTGGTCGGTGAGACTGTGACTGAATGGCATCATGTTTTAGGATCATCGTTGACGGATCAAAGGGAGACCGTAAAATAGAATTATTCTTAGAATCACCACTCACACACTCACACTCACACTCACACAGACACAGCCTCACACACACGTGGAGGTATTAGGGTGTGGAACAAACCTGATAGTTGAAGCAGAATCCAATTAAGCTTTTAACAAAAGGAATTGGAGAAAACTTCGTGAAGGAAAAACCTTAAGAGCTTGAGTTACGAGGGTGGCTAATGGCAGGGGAGTGGGACTGAATGGGTTAGCGACACAGTAAAGCTCCCTCTACACTGTGCGTCCGTCCGTCCGTCCGCACTCCCAGGTCAGGGTTAGCGACACAGTAAAGCTCCCTCTACACTGTGGTTCCGAGCCGGGGGGAGAGGGGAGGTTAAAGTGGGCGGTGGGCAGTGGGTTGGGCAGGTCCATTGTAACCCAACTCTCTGGTGCTTGGTTGGCAGCGGATCACAGTGTACAGGTGGACAGGAGCCCAGTCTGCTGCTTCTTCAAGTTCAGCCCCAAAATCACGTTCACCAAGGTGGTGAGGGCTCACCTGTGGGTTTACCTGCGTCCTGTGCAGCCCACCTCCATCGTGTACCTGCAGATCCTGAGACTCAAGCCCGTGACTGACAAGGGCACCAGACACTCTCGCATCCGCTCGCTGAAGGTGGAGCTGAACTCGCACAGCGGCTACTGGCAGAGCATCGACTTCAAGCACGTGCTGCAGAACTGGTTCAAGCAGCCCCACACGAACTGGGGCATCGAGATCAACGCCTTCGACACCAACGGCAATGACCTGGCAGTCACTTCGCCCGGCCCAGGAGAGAAGGGGCTGGTGAGTCGCGAGTGCCGACGGTCTGACAGAGTCTGACACACTCTCTCTCTCTCTCGCGCGCGCTCTCTTAAACCCACGAGACCCATTTCACTGTGGAGGGTAATGATCCGAGCCGTCGCCTCGCAAGCGAGAGGCTCCGGGTCAGACAGGATCAGGGCGAAACCTTGGACAAGTTTCTTCGCTTCACACAGACACGGGCACGCACACACGCACGCGCACACGCATGCACACGCCTCTGTTTACCCAGCAGTAAGAAGGAACCCGGTTGTCGGGCGATTCGCTGATCGCTCTCCGGGAGATAATAATGTCTTCAAAGAAAAAAAGAACAATAATTCGGTCGCTTCAATCCCCGGCTGTTTGTGGGGACGTCGCCGGGCGCGATCGGCTGCCGCGTTCCGCCCACAAAATGTACAGTCAATTCCCGTTGCAGTGTGTCCTGCGAAGCGCTTTGAGACGTCTATAATGCAAGGATTATTATCATTGTCTCTCCCTTCCCACCACCCCCGTCCCCCCCACGTTCCTCCCCCCCCACTCCCTCGTTTCATAAGAATTTGCTGGCGAAAGAGGAACACGGTCCAATTAGTTCACCTACCACCATCCTGTCTGTCTGTCTGTGTGTCTGTCTGTGTGTGTGTGTCTGTGTGTCAGTGTCTGTCTGTCTGTCTCTCTCCCTGGGGAGTCTGTTCCATATCTTCCCCTGTCTTTTTCTCCGCAGCAACCTTTCCTGGAGGTCAAGGTGGCGGAGTCGAACAAGAGGACCAGGCGTAACCTGGGCCTGGATTGCGACGAACACTCCACAGAGTCTCGGTGCTGCCGTTACCCTCTGACCGTGGACTTCGAGGCGTTCGGTTGGGACTGGATTATCGCCCCCAAACGTTATAAGGCCAACTACTGCTCAGGTCAGTGCGAGTACATGTTCATGCAGAAGTACCCGCATACCCACCTGGTACATCACGCCAACGCCAGGGGCTCAGCTGGACCTTGCTGCACCCCCACCAAAATGTCCCCCATCAACATGTTGTACTTCAACGACAAGCAGCAAATCATCAACGGCCAAATCCCTGGCATGGTGGTCGATCGGTGCGGGTGCTCTTAAAAGAGACGGAGGAGAGAGAGAGAGAGAGAGCGAGAGAGAGACACGGAGAGAGAGAATTGAACTGAACTGAACTCATCTTCCTTCCCTTCCCCCACCCCACCCCCACCCACTGCCCCACACCTCCCACCCCAACACCCGGGACCCGAAACATTCATTGTTCTTGAATGTCATTCGAAGAGACACACACACACACACACGCGCGTCCTGCACTGTGCAATAAGCGGAGGGAACGAGAGAGAGAGAGGGAAAAAGAGAGATGGAGAGATGGCATTGCCATTTCAAGATGGCAACTGGTCACCAGTAATCTATCCTCCCACCCAAACCCCCCCACCCCACCCCACCCGCCCACTCTCCCCACCCTCACCTCTCCTCTTTTCCCTCCTCCACGCAACTCCCTCGCCCCCCCTCCCCCCACACCCCACCACCTCTTTTCCCGGAAAAACCCGACCGGGAGGAATCTTCGATCAACTCACGATGCATTTCCAGCAGCGAGAAGCCAACAAGACTTTGGAGCCCGACTTCCTCGCAGCGACGACGACAGCAATTTACGCTTACACCGTGCCCTTTTACGCGGGAGAAGACCCGGGAGCCTGAGAGGTCGGAACACGCCGGGTTGATGCTGTGGTCACTGATTTGAAGGCATCTCCGCACACAAACTCTCTCAAGCCTGATCCGCCATTCCACCAGACCACGGCTGATCTGCGCCTGAACTCCCAATTAACCCCATCCCCCCCCCCCCCCCCCCTTTGCCCCCTATCCCCTCGATTTCCCCCAACCTGACAAACATCTCTCCACCTCAGTCTGGACAATGTGAATGGATCCAGCCATAATCCACAGCCTTCTTTTTGGGGGGTGGGGGGAGGGAGGGAGGGAGGGAGAGAGAGAGAGAGAGAGAGGGAAGAGTTCCAGATTCCCACTCCCCCTTTTGTTTGGAAAAAAAATGCCTCCTGATCTCACTCCGAAATAGCTCCAATTTTAAGACGATGCCCCCATTGTTCTGGATTCCCTCGACACCCCCAGCCCCCACCACCGCCCCCACCCCCCCCACCGCCCCCACCGCCCCCACCCCCCCACCGCCCCCACCGCTCCCACCGCCCCCACCGCCCAGAGGAAAGAGTTTCTCTATAGCTAAGTCTATCGAAATAATAATAATAATAATCCTCGCATTTTGACCCGGCGCCTGATCACGTCCTCGAGACGTCTCGAAGCGCTTCGCGGGACACCTCCGTAAAGTGAATTGATTGAGAGCATTTTGAGGGCAAATCCCTTGATAACAGCCTCCAGTTAAAATCCGGAGATTAGGGAGTTGTTGATTAGGTGATGTAAAGAAGCTGCTGTTTGAGGTTTTTTCCCGAATGGCTGAAGGTCTGGGGGTGGGGGTGGGGGTGGGGGGGGCTCAGGCTCTGGGCTGATGGAGGGGAAGGCTTGCTGCCCGCACGCTTGTTAAATCGGACGCTTGTGAATATGGATGAGTCCGGGAAGCAGTGAGAGTTATTAGCGATGGGATAGTTCCCTGTGGAATGAGTCCTGCTCGCTGGCAGCTGGGTATTAGTATCTCCACCATTACTGGGCTCTCCGAGGTTCCCCTCACCCCCCCTCCCCCCTCACACACACACCCTCAACAATTGGCGGCCGCGTTTCGCCCCCTAAGTACACAGTCACTACACGTTATAGTGTATTCCGCGAAGCGTTTTGAGACGTCTCAATGAGGTGATAAAGCGCCGTATCAAACTCACTCGTGAATGGAGTCACCAAATCATTACTATTATTCCTTTGGAAGGGATTATTACCCCCGAAAAAGCCATCCACCAGTCGACTAACAACCGGGTTCCTGTTTGCTGCTGGTAAACAGAGGCGTGTGTGTGTGTGTGTGCGTGTGGGTGTGGGTGTGTGTGTGGGTGTGTGTGTGGGTCTGTGTGTGGGTCTGTGTGTGGGTATGTGTGTATGTGGGGAGTAAGGAAATCCGCCCAAAATTAACCTTTTTACTTTGCCGATGTTAAACATTTTTTTTTGCACTACGGGAAGTCGGTGAGTAGAATGACTCGCGTCTCTAATCGCACACGCGTGTGCGCTTGCGTGTGATGAAACTTTATGTTAACAGGTATTTCTTTTCGAAAAAAAATTGGCGTGAGCTTGGCGTGTTTCTGAGTGTTACCCCACCCACCCCCAAAACCCTCTCCCCCCCACCCCCCCCACACCCCCCCCACCCCCTCTCCCCTCCCTCACATATGGCGAAGATTTATCGAAATTATTATTTTCTTTTTCTTCGTGGACTTAAGATATCAGGCAATGTACCAAAAAAAAAACTCTGCCCTTTTCCATCGCCGCCCACCGCCCTCACAGCTCGACTTGAGTTGGTAATAGTAATAATTGTAGTAATAATAATAATAACGATGATTCTGACAACAACCAAACAACAACAACAACAACAACAGCAGCAACTGACACGTGTCCGGCGCCTTTCCCGTCGAGAGGACGTCCCAAGACAGTGACTCGCTCTCGTTCCAAAGTTCAAACAGCGTCGTTTTCAGCGTCGAGTCTTGGATCCGGGGGTCTGTCCCTCTGCACCAAATATTCCACTGCTGACTCGATGTTCCATTGGGAGGACCTCGGACCTCAGCTGTGACCGCGGACGTTTTCGATCCCGTCAACCCTCACCTGGAAGAGGAAACGCCCGGACACTGTCCGGTCGTCTGACCGAATGGTTAGTTTTCCAAACTCAACTCTCGCTCCTTCCTCACCGGTCGGATTCCTCCCTCAACCCCACCCGCCCAGAAACCTACAAAGGCACTTAAACCCAAACCATCTCTCTCTCTCGCTCTCTCTCTCTCTCTCACACACACACACTCCTTGCTTTTTTTTCCCAGTGCCCCCAAAACCTTCACTTCCAATCAATTTCCTCTCCCCCCCACACCCCACCCCACCCCACCTTGGATGAATGCACTTCAATCTCCGTCTCTCTCTCTCTTTCTCTCTCTCTCTCTCTCTCTCCTCTCTCTCTCACTCTCTCGCGCTCTCTGAGACTCTTCCCCCAACCCCCCCCCCCCACCCCCAGAAGCACTTGCGTCGTTCTCAAAGCCTAATCACACCCCCACCCCAACGCTCAACTGGAACGTCCCACCGGGCTAAGAGCCTCTGTCATCGTCAACGGAGGGGAGAGGACACACGAGTCCTTTGATGCAGTGCGTGTCTCCAACCCGGCCAAGACTCACCCTCGACCCTAGCCACAAAGCAACGTGAGCGAGCGAGCGAGAGAGAGAGAGTGAGAGAGAGAGAGAGAGAGAGAGAGAACGTGGGCCCAACTCTCCTCTCTTGTTCGGTATTCAGCTTTGGGAACAGCGCGGATGCTTCCAGCCCGGATGGACTTGACCGTCTCCTTGTTGTGTGCGCGCGCGTGTGTGTCTTATCGCCCCCTCGAAAGCGGGTGGGTGTCTGCGTTCAGACAGCGCCCGCCCACCACCGCCACCACCACCAACCTCAACCGGGCGACACGTTGGCAAACTCCGGCCGACCGCTTTGCTTCTCGTCAGCCGCCATAAGGAGGCCGTCTGCGAGGAGGGCCGGACACTCGGCGGTGGTTCGGTTCATGGGTACAAGATCGCACGCCACCCGACAGAAACACGGAGCGGTGTTACACTCGCGTCGGGGGGAGGACGGGCGAACCGCTCGGAGTAAGCCCCAGACGCGCACGGGTCAAGCGGGGTCTCGGCTTTCACCTCCGCCGGAGCAAAAGAGTCAGAGCACCCGCCCACCCGCCCGAAATCTGCTGGAAGGTCCTGTACATTAAAACTGTCCCATTCAACTCTTGTTTAACAAGGCCAAGTACCAAAATAGTCTGATATCGGACGGGGTCTAAGAAAAAAAGCTTCTTGCCAAGGACAGAGTTTTAAGCAAGAAACTCCAGCGTTGCGAGATGCAAAGCCATTCTCATCCACGTTTTATTTTGTAAAACATTTATATTAAAAGTTAGGGATTGTAATAAATAAATTAATGAATGATATAACGGTTATTTAACACTCGGCCAAATCGCCGCCTGCGGTGGATTGTCGATTCAGCTCTCCCCGCCCGCATTCCCCGTCGTTCGTTTGTTTTTATCATCGTTTTTTTTTCTTCCTCTGGGTGTTTGTTTGAAGCCATGTGTACAGTTCAGCCCTCAAAAGTCCTGCAGCTCAGGGGGTTGGAGCCCTCTCGCCTCGCGAGCCGGAGGACCCCGGGGTTCGATTCCCGGGCGAGTCGGGTCAGGGCGAAGCCTGAGGCAAGTTTCCTTACTCCACACACGCACACACACGCACACACACGCACACACACACGCGCCTGTGTTTACCAGCGGTCAGTGGGAACCCGGTCGTTAGTCGGTTGGCAGTTCGCTTTTCCGCGGGTAATAATCCCTTCAAAAAAAGAATAATAAATTTGGGGCCTCAATCCACGATTGGCTGCCGCGTTTCACCCACAGAACATACAGTCACTACACTTTACAGTACGTTCCTACGAAGCGCTTTGAGACGTCTCGAAGACGTGATAAGGCGCTGTGTCAAATGGAAGGGTTATTATTATTATTAAAGGCTGAAACTACAGGCGGGGGTTGGGGGTTGGGGGGTTTGGGGGGAGGGAGGATGGGGGGAAGGTGTAGGCAAAACAGGACTGAAAGGCTTAACTCTTTAAATCTGGCGAATGGCCTCTCCTTCTGTGCTGTGAATTTCTACGGTTCCGTGAAAAGTGAGGAATGATGAGCGGCGAAAACCCAACGCTGGTGAAATCTCAGAGTCTTATCACAGGGAGAGAGGGAGGGAGGGAGTGGGGGGAGAGGGAGGCAGAGAGGGAGAGAGAGTGGGGGGGGGATGGGGGGGTGGGGGGGAGGGAAGGGATGGTTGAATGTCGACCAGCGTTTGAGAATTCAGAGGCTGAAAATGCTGCGGTTGCCAAGTTTTTTTCGCTCGACTGCACCTGCCTCCTTGTTAATGGGTTATTGCAGGTCACACGAGCTCAGAGGAGGAGGAGGAGGAGGAGGAGGAGGAGAGGAGAGAGGGGGGAA